AAAAACCGCAAAACGCAAAATGAAATACTAAACATTTGTATGTACCCCCGCCATAGATCCTAATGAACCCATACCAATTTTGGTGAAGATCCACCCAGACCATGCATGGACATACAACAGACAGTACTATTATATATATATATATATAACATATTTTGTTTTTTATAGTTCTGGAGTCTCTCGGATCGACTACCAGAAGATGATTAGCCAATCGGACAATTTTTTATCATCCCCTGAGGTAAGATGCTTGATTGTCAATTTCTATGTCACAGAACAATAAAAAAAATATAAATTATAACAGTTTAGATTTATTATATCATCGCGCATTTGTTTACACGTATTGTTGACACCATATTTCAGAGTCTCTGATGACATTCAACATCTAAGGATAACATTATGGCGAGAGAATTATTACTGACCATCGCCAAACTTGGCCTCTTTTTTATATTCACGTTACTTCTTGTTCCAATTCCAATAAAAAAATTAACAAATATGGGCATGATATTACTCACAATTTCTAACATTAATAAAATGTCCAAGGAGAGTAGTTCTATATATTGATGTGTAATTCTCTAGAAAGCTAAAAAATTAGTTAATTTCAGCTGTAAAGAATCAGGAAGAATTCATCATACGTGTTACCATATTCAATTCAAAAATCGCGAATTGTAACAAAATCCACCCTGTTCTATTCTCGCAGGAGCATTTTACGAACACAAAATTTCCCAAATAAATGACAGTTTAAAGCTTTTTTTCTCTTAAATGAGAGTGAAAAACGGTACAAGTAAATTTCCAAAATATATACTCAACATATGTTGTTTAATAAAGGCGCGCTTTTTTCTTCACGACATGGTTCTAAGCACTTCGTTTGTAATCTGGGACAGCAATTTTTGACGTCAAAATTTTAATGATTGATAAATAAATACACAAACGTACAGATAGACCGATAGATAATTATGGCCATGGATAATCTTTGATTTCCTTGTGTTTCAGTTTTACGAGATGGATGATCAGCATCTTCCGTTTTACGACCTGGATAGTGAAGTATTGGACACCATTTTAAATGAGTATACACCCAACTACTGTAACCAGAATGACCACGTCATCGGAGCAACTGCAATTACAAACACAATACAACCTTACCTGAATTCAAGCTCAGTTTATCGTAAATATTAAGTAACGAAGTATTTCTCTCTTTTTTTTTCCCAGATAATCTTGTCTTAAAAACTACCACTTAATGATAAATATATATACAATTATCGATATGCCAACCAAAAAAGTATTTTTCTTTCACCAAATATATCTGTGGCATTTTTACTTTTCACTCCACTCGTGGACCTTGTTCGCCTGATAGCACTAAGTGTTACGAGAGTGAAACGTAATATGATATCATACGTTACTATTTCATTGCAAGATATTTTATATTAAATACAAACACAGTGCTAGGTTTTTATGCGTGATTCAACTAATGTTTCCCTATGTTAAAATGTAGTATGTATTCTCTTACAGCATGACAGGAGTGTGTTAACAATAAAATCTTAAGTCTAAACATAAACAAAGTAATTTATACCGTGTTAACACAAACAATAAAATCAGCATATCTATAAAAAAACATAGAATGAAACTAACAGTGATGACGAGCGAATTTATAGTTACTTGGTAACGAAAGTGATAGTTAATCTCTCTTCATACCGACCACTGAAATCCAAGCAATGCATACGTAAGAGTCAGACAACTCATTTTTCTTCATGACAGATGTAAATGAATGGTTAAAACGTATCATATTGTAAAAAGGTAGATCCAGGTGAAGACAAATGGGATGTAAATAATGTTTCAGACCTATAATTCAAATAGAACAATATCACCCTTGTAGGAAATTAACCAAGGTATATTGAAAAGACCACCCTGGAGTATAAATATATCTGGTTTAACTCACAATTTGAATGTATGTCGGCATTACAAGTCTGGTGATACTTAAAAAACGAGAATTCAATTCTTGCATTAAAAGTTGCTTGCGATACTTAAAGAAACTCTATAAAACACTAGGACTAAGTTGTCAGTTTTCTGCTATACAGTTTTTTTATATCCGAAACGTTCATATATGCATTAATTTCGGCTCACTACCTTAATCACATAGCCTCAGTATAAGCTATTAACTTGGACATATAACTGTCCATAAGACTCTAATCAGAGTCTAACAAATTTCTTTATGAATATAACAGATCAGTAGATTTATATATTTGTTGAATGTTCTATTAAAATACTTTAAGAAGATTTAGTGATATTTGTTTTTATAAGTATCGTTGCGTTTCGACTGCGGTCACATATATTCAAGAAGTGACAGCTATGCTGTTCGAAATAAAATAAACTCGGTTTTGAATTCCAATGTGGCCTCAGAAAAACATAACTTAGTGTATACTTATTTCCTCTGCTTATGCGAATTTTGAGTCGTGAAACTCGCAATTCCTTACAACTGATCAAGTAATCAATTCTTTAAAAACAAAAGACGTAGATCTGTATAAATACCAACAATCTACCTGATGCATATTTTCGAATACACAAAAATAAACAAGGAAAATCAAAGTTTAACCTGCCAATATATAATTATTAAATTTTATACAAAGTAAAAATGTGTTGTTGTTTTTTTTTTAGTTGTAAGTCACTTACAGCGTTTCTTTTAGTCGTTTACTACACATGACAGCTGTGCAACCATATGGTTTCTAAGTTGACCGTTTACATCATTGCGTGTATAAGATGTAGTTATGTATAGTAGAGAAAAAAAAATTGTTCAGTAAATATGCAGCGGTTTCTCCAGTTTCGCTTTGTTTTAAAATGTTTGCACAACGCTACACACATTAAACAGCGAATTCAAGACAGCACTTCTGTTAAAATTCATTACAATAGTACATAATGCATGTCAATGTCGTAATTGTTCACCTCAAATAAAAATTACTACCTCTAGTATATCTACATCTGAGACCATTTTGGTTTTGTAAGATTTGAAATATTTCATTCACTTATTTCTAGTGAAAACCATGTCAAGTAAGTTATATCCAAGAAGTTTGGTTGAGCTGAGACTTAGATAAGTGGTAAGGTTGGTTCGTCGGCAACTATATAACTCAGCTGAAGTAAAACAAAGACCAAACTTGTTTGTTTCTTGTCAAACGCAACGCTATACAATGGGTCATCTGTGTTGTGCCCACCGCGGTTATCGAAAGCCAATTTTTAGCGTTATAAATCCCTTGCACTTACTGTTAAGCAACTGGGATACGATAGACCAAAATTTTTACAAATACTTTCAGGATAAATTGATGAAAAAAAAAGATATCTAAGACATCATAACACGATAATTTGAAGTACTGTACAGCCCCTCGGTACGTACTTACAACGCTAAAATGATTTAGTGAAATGTACTAATATTCTTTGAAGCGAGTAAAAGTAATATGTAAATCAAAAAGAATATTGTTCATCATACAAAATGACTGTTTATAAGTTTGAACTAATTGCATGTATTCTTAAGAATGAAACATTTTATATGACACTTATAGGTGCAATATATGTATATATCTATATATATATATAGTGAATATAAGTATGAACTATTTCTATGATATTTACCAGTGTGACATATTTTTATAGTGTTTACGAGTGCAGAATATCTCTAGAGTGCGCGCGAGTACGAAACATTTCTCCAATATTTGCAAGTGTCATTTGTTTCTTTAGCGTTTACGAAGAAATATATATATATATATAACGTTTGTAAGTAAGAAATTTATCAGTGTACATATGCTTTGTAATTCTGTCTCTTTCTCTTTTTTTTTTTTTTTTCTAGACCGAATCTCTTCAGATTTGTTGCCGATTGTTAACCAAGACCAGGATTTATTGAACAGCATAAACTGGAACGATCAGAAGTTAACTTCACAATATGAGTTAGTTGGCCTCGATGTCCCGGATCACATTTCTTACAGCACTGTTGGTAAATTCTTTGTTATCGTTGTTAACTAATTTATTCAATTTGTCACTACGTTTTCATAAGACTAAGTGGCATTAATCTATAACGTTTCGAAAAATACTAGAAATGTACCTAATGTACGTTAATTCATGGAACAAGTACTTTAGCCAATAATAAAGCCTTTGGAACATTTTTTTTTATAATACAGATCCGTATGAAAGCTGTGACGTCAGCCTGACGAGTGGCTTTGGTACCTATAATGACAAACTATTCGTTGCATCTATTTCTCAAAACCATACAGAAAACACTGGTACGTTTTCTGCTTTGGTCAAGTGTTTGAAAAAGATCGTGATATATTGTAGATATATTTGAAGGATTTAAAGCAGGAGTTTGTTTTTAAATCATTCTTCCATCTCATAAAAGTGTTAACCAGTTAAATCTTGGTGGGATTATTTCTCATTATCGTTTATCAGATATTATAACGGATAATGAATGACTATGATTCATTCTGTACAAATTTGGAATCTTCTTATCTAATTTTAAATATAATAATATTTTGAGATGACATTAAAATGTCACTAGGATCGCTATCATAAATTATTAGGTGATTGTTAGAGTTAAGCATCAACCAATTACATTATTGTCTTTTTCCATTTTAAATTTTAACTGTATTATCCTGGATAAACTGGAGTAGAATTTTGTTGGTCTTACACAGTTTATGCCTACAGAACGATATATACGTACCCAATATTTATCTTTTGTGGAAATATAAGTCTTCTTCAGAACCTGATAAATCGCGTTTAAGTTATGTATGTTTTTTGCTGGATCCTCAGTTTAAACAGTGTTATCAAGGCTGTTTACAAACAATGATTTAAAAATTCAATGCTTTATAATAAACTTTATTATTATCACCCTCGAATTATATTCATAATATCATAATGTGTCAACTTCTGTCTACTGAATTGTTCTAAATCGGATAACGTCCCATTTCAAATTCAGTACTAAATCTTTAAGGTTGGCTAAACAAAGTCAAACAAAATTCAAGCAGTACTTAATTTTAAAATATATAAAATTTATTATTTGACACAAATAAACTGGTTCTGTTGCTCTCTCTCTTTTCCAACCACGAAAAATAGTATTGAAAAAAGGTCCATTTACTGGTTACAGAACCTGTACTTCCACCTATTTCAAAACTGTAAAAACACGACGTCCTTCAGAGTTTTCTTTCTCGTAGATATGTCATCTCTCAACAAACAACAAGGTACTAGGCGACGAGGAAGGCCTCCTAAAACCCAAGCCAAGCATCGAAACCGTCAAGGTGAGGACAAGAGGGTTACCGTTTAGAATTATAATATCTGGTTCGTCAATTAAAAACAAAAGAAGTTTCAATTAAATCACTAAAAGATTTCTCAAAAATTGTACATTGTATATATTGAACTAAAGCGAAGGAAATTATCGATTATAATATCAATTCTTACAGAAAAAAACTAAGAATGACTTATAGAATTAACCAGTTTTAACACTTTCATCATTCTTTTATTCAAACAGGGACATTTGAATGTTTCGTTAGGTTTGTTTATAAAAAAAATATGTTACTTTGCAACGGTATTCATATGCTTTTAAAACTTGATGTTCTGCAAATTATACTTTATATAAGATTAAGTAGTCTGTATTATAATTATATATATATTATATAAGTTAATAAAAAAAGGATGGAACGGAACAGATATTAAAACAATCAAATTACACTTCCTTTGGTAAGCAGAGGTAGACTCAATAAACTGAATGATTTTAAATATTATCCTATTTTTCTATTTAGTTTTTGAGTGTTTCTTTTAATATCTCCGAATATAATATATATATCATTATTATTTTTAACATTCAGCTTACATTGTAACCTATAATATCAATGGACTAGTCACATGTTTCCGAATTATCACTCTGAAGGTTGCCAAACTTTGTTCTACTAATGTGAACGTCACGATCAAAGAGCATGCACATTACGAAATTGAAATAAGAACATTTATAAACTATTGTTAGACATCGTCCTTAGAAGCTTGATGAAATTTGATAACATTTCCTTAAGTAATCTGTTTGAAAACTGAATATATTCTTATATACACAGAGTTTAGGAGGGTTTTTGAAATCAAAACAAAGACAACAACTTAAAAGGAAATAAAATGTTGTAAGTTGTGTAAGTGTTTTAATAAAAGCAGATGATTAAACCCTAACTTTAAGGTTCAGAATTGAACATCATCTCGGCGTAAGCTTTTCACTACTCTATTAATTCACTTAGATTTTTAATTAAGTTGATATAACCGAAATATTTCTATTAATTCCGTATTGTGAACTACGTAGTATCAGTACAAATTGAGGCCGAAACCGCCCTATTGCTCAGAATTCATTACAAATTCACATACCGAGGACAACGAGTGCTGACGAACGGCTTTTTAGTTACACAGATACAGAAAATGACACCTGGTGTATAAAGTGTTTTTTAATTACATAATCTGAAACGCTGTTTGTGTTCCATTCAATATTAGATACCTAAATTAATTTTACATGCAACCTAAAACACGAGAGACTATCTCCTGAAGTTGTTGTTGTTGTTCTATTTGTCGTCTTTGAAACTTTGTCTTTACACTTGATGAACAGTTCACACACCTCATGTGCAGCATTCTTAACTGTTCATTTACAAAAAAAGCTGCTGTTAAACGTTGAGTGTTCTTCAATAAGGGAAACTGTGATTAATTTATCTTCGCTTCTTTCATCTTACTAACAATATCTTTAATGATATACTTATAAGTTTCTGGTAATATCAAAAAATACATTGATAATCTTTATATGATTTTTGGCAAAACACCCTTAGGTTATTGACTGTTCTGTATTTCTATTTGTTCACATTTTACTTTGAATGATAGTTTATACAAGTTACAGATGCTTACATCATAGTTTTGATTCTATTTAAAATTTGACTTCTTCTTGATTGTTTGACTTCTAAAGTCAGGTTATGAAAAAAAAAGCTTTGATTTATCCAAAGTTCCTTCACTAAATATTTTATTTTATGCCTTAAAGCTTTGTTTGTTTGTTGTCTAGCTCAAATTACACGATGGGCTATCTGTACTGTGCCTATCAAAGGAATTCCAAACTCGGTTTTTAGCTTAATAAGCTTTCAGACCTATAGCTGAGACACTAGAGGTTCACCTTGAAGCTCTTTCATGTTTTTAGTTACATTTTACAATTTAGTATTCAGCTAAACAAACAGTTTTACAGGTAAATAGTTCAACCTCATTTTTCACTAATTCATTTCGATTAAAGTATGGGGACAGATTAGTTACTGTACCACAGGATATGACTAACTTTAAAATATTTCAAATAAAATAGTACACTTGTTCATCTTGAGTATTTTTGAAATAAACTAACTTTTAATGTTAATCAAATGAGACATTTCTAAAAATGTTTCTTTTAAAATTTTAATTAGCTGTTTAGTTTGAAGAAATGGAAGAATTTGGTCTATTCTTAAGATCGTTTTTCTAATTATAATAAGTTATATAAGAGATGAACAAAACAAAACAATGTTTTTTCAAGACTGTGTTGAAATAAATTGAAGTTTGGATTTTTTTAAATCATCAATGATTTTATTCGCATCCATAAACCAGAATACATATTTGTTTCAATTGTCTTTCAACATAATATTTATTTCAATAATTCATTATTTGTTTCCTCTTTCTCTCCGAAGCTAAATTATTAAAGAATTATCCCCGTAATTGTTTCTTTTTCTACTAAAATATAAACCACAAATTCATGGAATACATTGTAATCATTTTATGTCATTTTTCTCTTGAACATTGGTCCAGGTAAAGGATTAGGAAAATTGTGGGAATTTATCCGTGATCTTCTTCTTCATCCAAGCTACAATCCCGCATACATTCGATGGGAGCGACGTGAGGAAGGAATATTCAAATTTGTACAGTCAGAAAAAGTAGCTAAGATGTGGGGAGACCGAAAACATAATACAAATATGACGTATGAGAAACTAAGCAGGGCAATGAGGTAAGTTGCATGGCATTTTTAAAGCAATTACAGCAACAACCTCCCCCCCCCAAAAAAAAAGAAACTTACCTACTATCCATCAGAGACTTTGAAAAACAGCTGGATGATTTTTTCAAAATAATTACGTTTTGAAATCGTTCAACCCATCCTATTTTTACAACCTCTAACATGGCGAAGCTACATAATCCAGGTAACAATATATATATTTATATCTTAAACAGTTTATAAAAAAATGCACGTAAGGCGAGTATAAAAAAAACAACATGACACGTATATTTGACAAAATAAGTTAGGGATCAACAAATTATCGAAGTATAATTTGTAAGTAGCTAAATTATATACTCACAAGCTATTAACAAAAATTAACGTTGTTTTCTTTTATACAACAAAGCTGTTAGCATTGAACCTTAAACAAATAAATCTCATGATTTAGATCTTTTCAATATATGGAGTGATGTTACGCGCACAGCGAGAACAAGTAAAGTGAAATCAGACTTAATGACACCAGAGAAAAGAATAATAATGATTGTTAGGATATCGTAATTATAATAAATAGCATTCAACCACCATTCATTATGATATAAAGATTAGTATATCCGTCGTAGCAGCTGTTTCCTAACATCAACCAGAGAGCTATCGACGAACCTGTCCAATTCAGATGGCAAAATGTTCACTAGGATGTCTCCGCCCACGACAACGGCCAATAACAGCAATGCATTTTTGCCAGAAATTTAGGCTTGATATCTTTAAGGCCTCAAAGAAACTTTTGTCCCTTCAATTTGGATGGGAAGTAGCCTCGGGAAGTAGACAAAGGCCGTGACGCTGGACTCATCTTTAACTCGAAGTGGATGCGAGTGGAATCTGCCATCTGAGTTGGTTTTGACAGTGCTCTAGTCAATCGGGTCATCGACGTGTCAACAACATCAGCCAAAGAAAATGGAAATATCTGATCAGATTGGCTAGGTATATCCAGTTCCTCATAATTTATAGTGTGGTTTGAGCTCCAGTAACTTATAGAAAATATTTTTGTAGACCCAGATTACCAAGATAACGCACCTTGCGTCACGTTGTGTAGAGTGGCCTGTCATTTCTTGGATTTTCTGACACGTTTGCATGTTATCTTGGAAAGCATATTTTGTGACACTCTAATATTAACAACAACTGTGCTCTATCTCTTTTCTCAGGCATGTCTCGCGTCATAAATAACATCAAAGAGCATTATATAGCGAGATTAATCCAAGAACGCAAGTCAGCATAATTCAAGTACTTCGTACCTTTTAAAATATTTTATTTTTCTGATTATCAACATTAATTTATTTGTACTCACCGTATTGTATTATATCACGTTTTTCACTAGCTTGCGCACATTTTGGTTCCAGTGCCTTCTAATAATTAATTACATTTTTTCTGAACATTACACGCATATTGCATGAAACAATCAAATAAAGCATCCATAAATCTTCATCTTCTTTGGCTTTTCCCTTTAATAGGAGTCGCCGCCCTTCACACGTGTTGCCCTCCTCCAATCATCTTTATTCATTGCCAGGTCTTCTGTAATTCCTTTCTCGTTTATGTCTTTTTTAATCTCATCTTTTCAATGCTTTACTGGCGATCCCTGTCTTCTATTACTGGCTACTGGCAAATATAATGCTTGCCTTATTACTTGTTCTTCTTTTTTTCACGTGACCGGACCATCTCAGCTTCGCTTATCATGTTTTTTCCATTATTACACAGACTCCTGCCATTTCCTTAATTTCCATATTCATTCTCTCTCTCTTCTCTTTCAGCGACACCTCCAACAGCCATCTCACCATTATCATTCTTGTACTTATCAGCAAGCTTTTTTCATTCTTCTTCAGGGTCCAGGTCTCGGCTCCGTGGAGAAGCACCGGTCTAATTACGGTCTTATTGCACTTTGGCTTTCAGTACCTTTAGTAACCTTTTATCTTTCCATTTTCTGGATTCTATCTGTCACAGCTTTCTCCACTTTGGATTATGTTTCCCAAGTACCTAAAATCTTCTACCTGTTCCAGCGGCTTCCCTTTTATAGAAACATACACAAATAATGCTAGCTAGTTAAAGTAATGGGGGGGGGGGGGTCCACTGACTCCTGTCAGTGTGAAACTAATCCATGAGATCCCTGTAATAGTGACAAACAAGAGTGTTTATGAAGCAAAATATCCCAAACGCACAATGCACAGATTTATTAATTATTTATTTTTTAATTTGAAAATGTGGTCATTTTCACAGTAATCCTAGACTTTTAATTTTTTTTATCAACCGTATTATTGTAATTGATAAGTATAATCACTGCACATATCCTGCTGAAATGTATATAATTCTGTTCCTGAAACTAAATGTAATTAGTTAAAATCAAATTTCTCAAGTATTAAATACTGTATAGATATAACTATATTTGACAAAAGATAATTTTAATTTCACATTGGTTTTCACTTTCTTCATGCAGCAATATTCCCGCTAATTTTCACACATTGGTTGTTCACTTTCTCCTTGCAGCAATATTCCCGCAAATTTTCACACATTGGTTGTTCACTTTCTTCTTGCAGTAATATTCCCGCTAATTTTCACACATTGGTTGTTTACTTTCTTCTTGCAGCAATATTCTCGCAAATTTTCACACATTGGTTGTTCATTTTCTTCTTACAGCAATATTCCCGCTAATTTTCACACATTGGTTGTTCATTTTCTTCTTGCAGCAATATTCCAGCTAATTTTCACACATTGGTTGTTCACTTTCTTCTTGCAGCAATATTCCCGCTAATTTTCACACATTGGTTGTTCATTTTCTCCTTGCAGCAATATTCACGCTAATTTTCACAAAATGTTATTATAGAACTAGTAGTAAGATTACTTTTCTGCTTAAGCCAGCTTATTATTTAATAGGCTATAGTTTAATGGTTTTGATAATCAAACTTTGATAAAATATTTCAGGCTGCTTTATCATAAATATACATCAACTAATGTGTAATTGCCAATAAAATTAGTGAATTATCAAAAGACCTGGTTTTAAAAAGCTGTATAACTTCACCTTATGTAGGTTATTAATGTGAAATACTATAGTATTATAATGTAACAGTCAATACCACTATTCGTTGGCAAGGAATAGCTAAAACATTGGTGACCGGTGATGTTGACTATCTGCCTTTCTTTTTGGGTGGTTTAACACAAAAATTTACATGCGTTAGTCGTCCCTAATTTTTAAGTTATAGACTAGGCACAAATGTGAAACAAATGCAAATAAATAAATTTGTTGTTTTCCCTACATTGTAAAAAGTCATAGACCCAGATATGCTTTATTAAGTTTAATGTAGTAAATAAGACAGATTGGCCACCCTGTAAGTTGGCTATGTGTATAGCAGATGTTTAAAGTGAAATTAATAATGTGAGACATATTTGTTTTTTGCTTTTCTGGGTGTAATGTTTAGATAAATGTAAACGTACATGAAGTGTCTCTTGAAAGTATAATAATCTCGTAGTTTTAGGTTTATTACAGGACTATTATACAACTACATCAACTATATTTAGTGACATAAAAACTGTCATTTTATATTAAAAGTATTTCGAAGTTAAATTATTAGTAAATTCATTTGTTTGTCCAGTAAGAAAATTTTTGTAATGGCTAAAATATCATTCATTTTCTATTTTTACTAACTATACTTTCTCCTCTCACTTTCAGGTACTATTATAAAACCAAGGTTTTTCTGCCAGTATTTGGACGACGACTTGTTTACAAGTTTGGACCTAATGCAACGGGTTGGAGGATGAGGGAGTCTGACTCGTCTTTTTAACTACTTTAACAGGGGAATAAACATTTATTACACTGGAGATGTCTTTAACACGTCACTTACATACAATTGCTATGCAAAAAAAAAAGACATCTGTAGCGAATTTCCTGGAAAAACGTGTTTTAAACACACAGGCATAATAGAGTTCTGACTTGAATATTAAGTAAAAGCCAGAATATTATTCACTGTAAGCATTTGTTAGGCTTACAGCTCAGCGCATACATTAAACATACAATTAAGACGCATATGAATATAAGTAATTTGAAATATTGAAATGGTTAACGTACAGAAAGTGGATAGGATCGTTTATGTTTTACATGCATTATCCTACCTAACTGTAAGTAATCTGAAATATTGAAGTGGCTAGCGTACAGAAAGTGGATAAGATCGTTTATGTTTCATATGCATTATCCTACTGAACTGTAAGTAATCTGAAATATTGAAGTGGCTAGCGTACAGAAAGTGGATAAGATCGTTTATGTATAGAGTTCTTTGTTTTTGGTTTTTACCAATTTTTTTCCAATTATTTCACCCCTTAAGAATAACTTTATCGATTTAACCAACACAAACCCGGATAAGGCTTGGTCATTCTGGGGCATAAAGGTTTGAGTGTTTGTTGTTTGTATTATGTAGATGACATCCTCATTTCTTGCTTGTTAAAGCTGTTTGAAAATTAAAAAGGGGATAACTTGTGAACTGTTTAATTCAAATAAAAATATTTTTTTTTACATTTTACTAATTTAGATAGTGTTGTTTATCAGTATATATTATTACAATCGTGACAAATGGTAATAATGATATTGTATTTAACCAACATCACTAATGTTGAGTCCCGCCGATTTAATCCCAATTTTCGTTTCGTTTGTAAAATTAAATAAACACAACCATATTTATATACTCATATTTATGTACATGTTTGTGTCTGTGGACTACTTGTATTTTGTTATTATGCTTTTGGGAAAGGAAATATATAGATTACCCCTAACATTGTGCAAACTTGATGAAAGTGAGAAAAGGAGGAAGTATCTAAAAAAAACCAGTACTGTAAAATATAAACAAACATTGATAGCAGAAGATTTTAAATATTTATTTTAACACATATACACGAAACTAAATATCGGTTCTTTTTTAAATTCCGTATTGAGAATCTCTTGCACACAGCTAGTTCCTCGTTCAAAATATTTTATTAGAAAAACCTTATTATTCTTGTTTCTATTGTTTATTAACACTCTTATCAGGTGTCCAATTACATAACAATAAATGTGTTATTACAAGAAGCAGAAATAGCTTGTACAATTATTTATTTGCTCGTGAAGCAATAGCTTAAAGGGTCATTTCTGGTTGTTTCATCTATTCAACTGTTAATTTATGGTTGTTTCATCTATTCAACTGTTAATTTATGGTTGTTTCTCTATTCAACTGCTCATTTATTGTTGTTTCATCTATTCAACTGTTCCTTTTTGGTTGTTTCATCTATTCAACTGCTCATTTTTGGTTGTTTCATCTATTCAACTGTTAATTTATGGTTGTTTCTTCTATTCAACTGCTCATTTATTGTTGTTTCATCTATTCAACTGTTACTTTTTGGTTGTTTCATCTATTCAACTGCTCATTTTTGGTTGTTTCATCTATTCATCTGTTCATTTTCGGTTGTTTAATCTATTCAACTGTTCATTTATTGTTGTTTCATCTATTCAACTGTTCCTTTTTGGTTGTTTCATCTATTCAACTGCTTTATATGGAACAAACAATAGAACTTGATACTCTAGCCTGTTTTGTTTCAATGCAGCAGTGCTGTAGTTACAAATTCATTTTCATGTTTAATGCATTAAGCATACAAAAGGACGAGAAGTAAACAAAATGCACAAACAATCTTTCTTTCTTTATTATCGAACACATTCTTATATTATATATTTCATACTTGTTGTTATATACCTCCAACTTTTAATCGTGTTTTGTTTACTTTTTTACTATTTGTATACAGATTCACACGATAATAATATGCAATACTTTTAGTGCATATACGTATCAATTTCCAAATGTTTCTCAGATATAGTTATATGAGGAAGGTCCTATTGATCATTGTTTAGCTTAAATAACAATTACAGTTCTGCCAGTCGTACTCTCAACTTGTTTTAAAATATTTTGATATGCAATGAAATGTACACGTACTAATAGTTTATAACAAGTTCTGCCTCTGGTTCAAAGATTGCAGAACAAATTATAATAACCTCAGTTCTGCGTCCGGTTCACAGATTGTAGCGAAAACCACAACAGTCCTGCTGTAATTCCTCGTACTTAACAAAACACAATCGTAATCAAAATATTCTCATACTCCTGAAAGACTCCCTAAACATCATCACAAGTTTAGAGACAGGTTTTGTCTAAAGAACATGTGTAAAACCTTTGGGAGACTTGAAGGCTCAAACAGATCAACAGTTTTTGAGGTGTAGTTATATAAGAAGGGTCCTGTTGATCAATATTCTTAGCTTTCAATCATTGTTTAGTTTAATAACAGTTACACATTGAAAAAGCTTTACACGTAGTGCTCTTTCATGTTTGACCACATTCAATGAAGTAGAACTGTTGTGACAGTTGACAACTGAAAGGATGAGAGCCCATGTTTTGGCCGGTGCTAAGCTCATCTGTTGTGCAAATAACTCTACAGGAATTCTAGGTCAACGTCGTGTTCTAAATGATCCAGTCATCACTCAATTATTAGGATACTTTCTTCATTTATATGAGGTAACTTGCATGGTACTCATTTGGGTGAATTTTTAAATTGCGATGTGTTAATTCGTGCGGATTGAGGAAACAAAAAATGTGGAACAGAGATCACACTGGTTAATTGTAAGATTAGACGAAAGAGAATGCAATTATAGGAATATACTGAGAGCGAAGATATGTGGAAAGAAGAGCTGTTAATTAAATCAAACTGAATTGACCATTATTACTAGGAGACCCCCAGTGACACAGCGGTATGTCTGCGGACTTACAACGCCAGAAACCGATAGCCTTTGTGTAGCTTTGTGCATAATTAAAAACAAACAAACAAACAATATTACTAGGAAATATTTGAAGATGCTATTGGAAGGAGGAGAGCCAGTACCAAACTCGTCAAGCGTAGAACAAGTCGTGATGTCAAATTGGGTATACCTAATATTAAAGATAAAAATAGTTATAAAAAATGATACAAAATAATTATTAATAATAATAAAATACAGAGTGCAAGTGGTTGCCTCCCTGTGATTGGTGACTCAGTACGAGGGACAGTGCAAAGCTACCTGGGATGCGCACTGACAAACGTGTAGCGGGTAGATTTCCACAATTGAAGGGATGACAGCCTGTGCTTTAGCCGATGCTGATCTTCTCTAACGTGTAAATGAGTAAATAACAAATTATTCACGTGTTGTTTTTTTACATCTGTGTCCAACCATTATATTGCAAAACAAATAATTCCATCATTGGATAACATTCACGAACAATCATCAAGAGCCTAGTGACGATATGATTTATATGACGCATCCACTGATAATAGGCTTTACGTCAAGAAGAACTCTTCCATGGATTCTTGGTAGTAATTTACAGTTTATCATTTTCCAGCATATCCATATTCATGGAGTACACATTAAAAAGCTTTACATACAGTGTTCTTTCATGTTTGGCCCATTGAATTAAGCAGATATGTTGTGGCTGTTGAAAAGTGATTACCAGTACTCTTCAAAACCCTAACAAGCTAATGTTTGTTACATTTTGACAGCACTTTGGATTTCCATTTCATAAACATTGATTTTTCCATAGAGTTAGCAGCCTATAATCACTCACCCCACTCAACATCACAGCATACGTAACGTTTTAACATCTTACTAATCTATTTCTCTTTTATCACTAAATATGTGCTTATAAATCTCACTTGTATAGTATACTAGACCACCGTGAACCGTTGGGTCAACCATTATTCAGAGGTTATGAAGAATTCAAGCTAATTTCAATATTGCACAGAAATGAGGTTCTATTTTGAGATAATTTAATTAAATATTTCAATCTATTCGTGCTATTCATAATTTAAGAAAATATATTTGATTGTTGATCGGGAGTAAAAGGAAAGACCATTTCATTTTTCAAAAAAGTGATGTAAGAAGTTTCGTAAAGAGCGCGAACGGTAGTGTGAATGATTTTTTGACTGAGAAAATAAGCAAACAAACAATCTCAGAGTTTTAGTAGCATATAGATAAATTCTTCAAGATCTTGTTTTTGTCATCTTGCGCCTTTTAATGAAGCTAGGAACATTGACAGGGAAATAATATAATAGCCAATGCTCGGCGAGAGGTTTTTCGTTTATAAAAATTTTGTTGTTGTTCTCAACTTGATTTTCATTTTATTGCCTCGTCTCCATAGTTACTATTTGCAAATAGTCAGTAATATTGTAGGTCTATTATATTGTTGTTCTTTCTATGCGTTGTTATAACACTTTTTATCTCATTATTT